AGTACAAAATCAGTCTCAGAAAACTGAATGCATTTTAGTGCACTACAGAGTACCTTAGATGATCATCATATTCTTCTGGTGAATTTCCTGCTACAGTAATAGTTAACATGAAACAGAGATAGTCGATGTGTTTGTAGCCTTATTGATGTGGTCTGCTTAATAGCCCCATCTAAGCCTCTCTCACGGTCAGGGCTGTGTGCATGCGTAATAGCCATTAAGAGAACCCCTTAGAGATTAAAGATAAAGTAGGTTCATGTTATACAAGGCTATTATTATTAGGAGCAAAACTCATTGGCAAATGATTGACAAACCTCTTCATGCCAATGAACTAGAACTGGGGCCGTCTATCCACTATAACGCTGATCATCAGCCAAGCGGAGGCCGACAATGCAGATTCTTCTGTCGCAAGATCCATAATAGGGGATTCGGTCATGGAGTAATGTTGGTTTCAGCTCATTTAATGACAGATCAGTGCCGCCTTAGTTCTGCCTCGAGGCTGTGTTTGTCCTTACAGTCTTCGATTATAACAATGAGCGTATCGAGACATTTGGGTTTGTGATTTTATTTCTTTTTATTTGTCCTCAATGTTATTTGGCTGTCTTGGTGATGCTGACGAGGTCTAAAAGATTGCGACTTGTTCAAATGACAATATGACGCGAAGCTTTTGGAAGAGGCAGCATCCTTTCACCATCAAATCTGCTTTGCTCTGTCACTTGCAAATCCTCGCGAGTCTAGCTCGAAGTACAGCGCATGATGAACCAACAGCAACCACAACGGTGATCGTTCCAGCCACTGAAATCTATTATCCCCCATCCACCTCTACGCCTGTCCCGATCACGAGCCCCGATCGTTGGGTGGTCCCGTTGGTCGGTCTGTCCGACGATGTTACAACACCTTGGGGTGCCAATGTTACGAGTGGGAATGGCACGGTGAATGCGTATACCATATCTGTTGGGCAACGCGACAACGACAATGTTGGTGGGGAATATGGTAGCCAGCTGCTGAACGGAACACAGTACGCTTTGATGGACGCCCAGTTCGTAGGAGACCTCAACGGCAACCATGTCAATCTCTCCGTAACACAGAACGACCGTCACATTCTAAACCTAGGGAACGACTCTCACCTGACAGTCACCGCAAGCGGGATCGATAAGAATACTCCCATAAGGACAGTCCCTTTTGGCTTAAACCTAGGCCATAAAGACGAATGGAATGGTTCACTCGCAGTAGGCGGGATCTACGACGCCAATCGTCTCACCGACGACGCGACATCCTGGATCTCCATCGCAGAGACCATGAACAACAACGGTACCTTTCTGCAGACCAGCAAGCAGACCCTCTCCGCTGTCATTTTACGCGTCTGGAAGTATAATCCCGGTTCGAGTGGCACCAATACGAGCATCAACGCCAAGGTGAAACGGTCTGGTCCCTTCTCGATCTCGGACGAGTCTGAACCCAGCATCGTGTACCCTGCCCGGTTGGATCTGACCAGCGACTCGCTGATCCTGCCACAAGATTGGTGCGGCCGCAACATCACGCTGGAAATCAACATGTTCCCGAACCGAGTTGCAAGTGTCTCTAGTTCGATTTTGATTGGGATTCCCGGGAACCTGACCGACAGCAGCAGCCGGTGCAGCTTTGAGCAGAATACTGAGGAGATTATCCTCGGTCGTCCTTTCTTTCAGGCGGCGTATCTCTATGTTGATGTAACCGGGGAGGTGAGGATCCTTCCTGCCAATCAGTACGATCTTCCACCCAAGCCGATTCCATTCAATGCAACTGCGAGGCCGGTCCAACCTGACCGCCGCACCTCAAGGTATAGCCCCGGTGCTGCGGGTGGAACGCTGGTCAAAAGTAGCCGGGGCGACCGAAACTTGCCTGTTGGGACGGCAGTCAATCATGCTGTTGCGGCTTTACTCGTACTTGCTGGTTCTGCGTTTTTGCTTTGAATAGATACATACAGCTAGCAGTAGCACGTGATACCCATCTGTTATGTCCTTGCGAAGAGAATCTCCTACTTTCAGTAATCATTACGTTCTTTCAGCGGCCTTCCCCGGGCATTGACGTGCTTGCACCGGCTCCAACCGAGATGAGGTTCTGAACATGTGAACCGCATCCTCTAGTCTGGCACAACGCAGTAATCAGGTCAATCAACACGCGCAAAGCAAGGCCGATGAGTCTACCAAAGACGTACTGTATCAATTTGTTGTTATACAGGAAGGAAAAGCGACTAGACTACTTCAGCGCATCGCCAGATGAACAACTGCAATGTCATTCCACTGAGGATACTATACGCCTCCCCTTGCCAACGGGATTATTAGATCAGAAGCAGAAAATCTGGTCGGTCATCTTAGAAACTGGTCCTGGCTTCTGGAATCCCATTGCAGTTAGCGTCTTCTTGGTAGCGCTCACCATTCCCGGAGGCCCACAGAGGAGAACCTTAGTGTCAGGCAAAGGCGCGAATAGCCGCTCAGTGAGGACCTCCTGGTTGACAAATCCGCTTCCATACGCCCAGTTCTCCGGGGCAGTGTCAAGCATGTACCACAGCCTGAAATTCTTGGGGTAGTTGCGTGCAAACTGCTCGAGTTCATCCCGCAGTAAGATGTCCCCCTCCGTTCTATTGGCGTAGATAAGGCTGATCTCGGTCGTGTCACGTTCGTCCTCGCAGATAGCACGGATCAGCTGGAACATTGGTGTGATTCCCGTTCCCCCGGCGACCATTCCTAGCTTCTTGCAGAACCCTGGTTTGTAGCGCATCGCTCCTTTGGGGCCTCTGAATTCGACATCGTCACCCACTTGCAGGTTCGCTAGGTACTTTCCACTGAGCATGCCGTCCGGATAGCATTTCACGACTAATTCCAGTCGTCCTCGGTCTAGGTTGTTCGAGACGGGTGTATACGACCGGCTCACGGTGGCACCATCGATAACAGCGCGAATGGCGACGTGCTGACCGATGGGAAGACCAATCACTCCGTTGCTATCAGGTAGCCCAAACACGAAGCGGTATACGTTTGAGGATAACTGATCTTTGTGGATCAGAGGCAGGCGCTGAAACTCCTTCGAGTCAAGGAACCCTTTAAGCAAGTGCGGGTCAGCCCTGGGCACCTTACGTGCCTTGATATGCGGCGGATACTGCAGGAATCCCGACTCGATCTTGGTGAGTTTAGCGCCTTGACGTGCGATAACACCCCCTGCTGCCGCACATATCAGAGTAGCTGCGATGAATCCATTGGCAAAGCCTCCCTGCGGCAGCCTTAGCCCGCTTAAATGTTGAGAGAGATATCTGTGAAGTGACCCTGTGGTATCAAGTCCGTGCAGAGAACCGCGGCGGTAGACATACATCAAGGAGGCAACTGCCCCCAGGAGACTGGTGACCGCTCCTACGTATCGGGTTGCTGATGAAGAAGGAGTCTCAACGGAGCTCTGAGCGATGACGCGAACTTTCTTCGGAGGGACATATTCTTTCCCGCCCTGAAGGGTTCCGATCAGGAATTCTTGCAGAATCTCGCGCGAATCCTCTGAATGACCGACGTCTTCAAATGCTTCTGTCGCATCTGAGCCGGCAACTTCAACCAGAACATCTGCGCCGCCGGGATGATCTTGTTGGTATTTTGTCACATCGTACACTGGCAAGTCTCAGCAAATGAAAGCTTCTTATTCGAGTTCTATACTATCCTGAGGGTCGTGCGACTTACCTTGTCCGTGAATCACAATCCAATTGTCGTCCTTGCGGTTATGTAGTGCAACTTCCTTCAATGTGTACTCGGGTAAATTATGAGCAGGGCTTTTCTGGGCGTCGCTGACATCTGCCATCGCTGGAACAGGCATTGCTAACGGTATCAAGAATCAAAGGGAAAGCTTCAAATGAACAGAAGTCGTATCGGTTCGGGACAGCAGGCAGTCCGCGGATTTTATAAACCATGTCAACGTTAGCAACCATTGAGCGAAAGCATCGGCCAGTGAAAAGACGGATAAAATTCATCATTATTCCTGCTCAACCACTCTGTATCCGTGCTCTATTCTAGTGCACACCGAGCACTCCGTACTAATGATCCTTCTACTAATTATTCAGTAGGAAATGAAACCCTAATAATCATCTCTTGTATCCACTCCCGGTTTACCTCCACCGGTGCAACTTCCCCTGCAATTCTAGCGCACCGCACTAGTCTTCTCGAATCGGCATCTTTGCCTCGGCACAAGTAAACTTTTGGTCTCGCTTTTGTTTTTTGTCTGAGATCGGCCCGAACATGGACGGTTTATCCTGAGAATAGTGCTGGACTGTTTCTGGCTCGGCACGCCTTATCCAGGTGCAAAAGAAGTCTTTGTTGTTCTTCGGTCGGGTTACCGAATTGTACACCGGTACAACTTCTCACTGAATGAACGGGCTGTGCGTCGCTTGCAATTTTCCAAATAGCAAACGGACAACATCAGCACCCTGATGCCACTCAACCCAGTCAAGGTGAAGCAGACTGGTCCGTTGTCATGATTCCAATTGCCCGTTAGACGTCTGTCACCATTGTACGGAGTGCTGTTGTACTTGTACATGCCTCGTCTGCATAAGCAGAAATCTCTGGTTAGTGGTGGGACTTCAATGTCGATCACTCAATTAGAGTTGGATTTAATCTTAGAATCCAACACAAAGCCTCAAACAGCCGAGGCACCTTTGAAATAGTAACCTCTCCTGGGATATAGTCGCTGACGAATTCAGCGCGTCGAACTAGTCAAGACGGACTCGCCGATTCCGTTGAATCCATAGTACCCGTCCCTTATCCATGAGGTGGATACACTATGCCGTGATGCTCTGTTTCCTCTTGCTGTAGTTCGGCTTTTATCCGAGCTGCATCTTATCTGGAGCCATTTTGCATAGACTTGCAAAGTCATATAACCCCCCTATAAATGACTGAGGATGGCCGTCCGTCAAAGTTTTCGGTTCCTGACCGACAGAGTCCCATACCTCCAAATCATTTTGCTGTGGAGTCTGCACGCCAGTTTGCGACAGGATGTCGACGACAACAAAGCTCTTTCACCTTCTGGGTGAGCCCATCGCGACTGCGAAACAGATCCACTTTGAGTCAACGACGACATATGAAGACCTAAGGCATCTGATTGCGGCGCACTTCGCCATCGTTGAGCCCAATGGTAAGGTCTATCTAACCCAGCCGGAGCACAATATAGATAAGCTGACACTCGCAGGTATTGGATTCCTATCGCAGAATTCTATACTGCATGATGTGCCGGAAATCACCGCAAGTGAAGATACCATCAGCATCACAATCGATGGGAAGCCGGTGCGCGAGATACCAGGCCCCAAGGGCCTTCCCTTCATCGGGAACTTCTTTGAAGTCTATCCCGACCATCTGGGAAATCACCAGCGCCTTTTCGAACAGTACGGGCCGATCTTCAAGACAACCAACATGGGTCGCACCGTATACCATACCAATGATCCACAGCTCTCGTCAATTATTTTCTCCGAGACAGACTTCTTCACGAAGAAGATCAATGCAGCGCACCCTCTGCATCCGATCAAGAATCAGGAAGCTGGTGTCTTTTTGGGCGACACTGATACTCCGGAGTGGAGAACTGCACATAAATTCCTGCCACCAGCACTTGGCCCGAAGGCCGTGCGTCATTATGCCCCCATGATGCAGGAAACGATTGAAGACGCGTTCAACGTCTTTGATGCCCTAGATGAGAAAGAGGAAGCATGGAACGTCTATCAGTACATGCTCAAGCTTGGATCGCAGGCGGTTGGCAAGTTGGTCCTTGGAATTGACTTCAAACACTTCTCGTCTATCGATGCACCTCCCCATGAACTTGTCTATCGTATAGCGGAGTCATTGGAACTGAATAAGAAAGTGACTGCTTGGGGTGATTGGTATGCCAAGTTACCGTTCGGTGACCCGCAACGGTTGAGAAATGCCAGAGGGCGCATCATTGATATGGTCAATGAGTCCATCCAAAACGCGGCTCGCGGGGGCATTGAAGATCTTCCTCTACAGGATGCGGCCTTGAAAGCATCCAACATGGTTGGTACGTGATAGCTTCTTACAACTTGGATGAATACGTTGGCTGATTTCTCTAGACTACGCTATTCGAGCCACCGACAACAAGGGCGAAAAGCTGCCCAAGACCAGTCTAATGCAGGCTTTGGTGGTCGCAACAGGAGCCGGCTTTACAACCACTAGCTCATTATTATCATGGCTTATCTACGGTCTTGTCACCTACCCCGAGGTGCAGGAGAGGTTGCTGCAAGAACTAATCGACAATGACATTGATGCCGACACGAAACTTACTGCGGACTTGACGGATCGCCTGACCTTCATGGACAAGTTTATCAAGGAGACCCAGCGTCGGCATAATCCTTCATATCAACCTGCACGAACCGCCAAAATAGATCTCATTCTTCCAGGTGGCTACAAGCTTCCACAGGACTCGGTCGTCATTGGCGCTTTGCACCACCTTCACAACAATCCAGAAGTGTGGAGCAATCCTGCGCGGTTCGATCCTGATCGCTGGGACACAGAGGAAGTCAAGAACAGACACAAGGCGGCCTATATTCCCTTCGCCACCGGACCTCGCATGTGTATCGGGTTCAACTTTGCTTTGCAAGAAGTCAAAGTCTTCCTGCCTAAGCTAGTGTACCGATACAAGTTTACCAGGGAGAATGATGGGCATATTGAGTACGATCCCATGTTCCAGCTGATCCGACCGATCAACCTATACGTTCGCGCTGAAAGGCGTGTCAAATGGCCGCCGAGATCAGACAAAGCGGCTCCATCGCCTTCACTGTGATGACGACGTTTCTACTATAATATTTGGACAATTACTGCCTTTGTCGGGCTTTGTTCCTCGATTACAAGCTTCTGTAGTATAGACTAGCGTTTCATTTTATCAAAATACCATTTCCACTCGGAGCTTTGTCTGTAGGGATCACCTTCCATGTACGACTAAGAAGAATCATTGCGCGGAATCTGTTTAGGCAGCATCTGCAGAACGATAATCTTATTGAGGTTCTAGAACATAACACCAACATGACATTTTACAATCGCCTTATAACCCGTCAACAGCAAGCCTTGCCACGCATCGTGCAGGCAATAAACCAAATGTGAACCTTCCTAAAAGCCAGCTAACAAAAGTTCGCAGCACTCTCATCAGGGAAAACATGGTCAATATTGCAGGATGGGTTGCCGCCAGGGACAAAGAGCGGAGTGGCTAAAAGTCGTCATTGTTACCAGCCACAACTAAAGATGGCGAATGTAAGTGGCAACATACCATCAACAGCCAAATCCGCACTGGGATTACGCACGATCGACAAGCCGCCCGTTGGGGTCAGCCTCATTTCGCAGTTGATCTGGTCCTGGCCTCCGTCGGTGGTGTTACTTCCCGTCCAGATATCGATGTGATGGATTCCAGAGCTGGTCCATTCATCTGCGCATTGAGAGCAAAGATCCTCGAGCTGAATGTACTTGTGTAGATACGGGGCGAAGATGACTTCGCACTGTGTGAACTCGCCAGGGACCGAGGCGAAGGTCAGAGGATCGTCAAAAGTGCCGATCCCGCTGGCTATGAGGCCACGACCACAATCGTAGGCGATTGCAGGGCCTGCAGGGTTGTTGTCAGGGAATCCATAGAATGTATGCGCGACCGCAGGGACGATGTCGCATGCTTGAGCCGATGTGAAAGCCATAGTGGCCATGGCCGATATCATCAGGCGATCTCTCATGGTTGGTATATCACTGTATGGCTATATCGATGCTGGCTTCCGCTTGAATTCGAGACATTGTGATCGGCCCCTATACTGCGCCAATTTATATTCTTTGCCTTGTTAGGGTGCCATGGTCATCGTCATGTTGGTTCAATGGCGGACTGTCATTCCTTAGTGACGTAGAGTCCTTCCATTGTTGAGATCTTCCGGATGCTTAGTACACATGAGTAAGATGGATAGTTCCAGACATTCAGACCTACATGCGGATAAGTATGAGATATAGCGATATCCTACTGAGGCGTTGGTTGCTGTTTGGAATTTCCCAGAAGGGATCAAGCCATCTCGGCCGATTTAACCAGAAATGGAAGCGGGCGATCGGTGATGGTTGCCTGTTTTCTCGTCCTTTGTCGGGCGGGCATGGAAACGACCGTCTTGGCGATGGAGAGAAAAGAAAGGTATACAATTTTTCCACCTCTGACCAGTTGAATGACCGATCCGCTCACATGGCATCCACAGACTCTGTTCAGGGCAGATTTGACGGTCTGCACAGAAAAGTCCTCGGCGAACTGGGCCTTCTGACACTATGGCATTCCTCACTGGACGTCAAGCTTCTCTGTGCCCAGCGCTTCATCCGACTCTTCGCCTATGGAGGTTCAACTCTGATATTAGCTTCATATCTGTCTACCTTGGGTATCTCAGATGACCGCATTGGATTATTTATGACCTTGACTCTTGTCGGCGATGTCGCAATCAGCTTTTTCCTTACTCTCTTCGCAGATGCAATGGGCCGCAGAGCAGTCCTGGCTTTGGGGTCTGCACTCATGGCCTGTAGTGGTATCGTCTTCGGTCTATTTCGCAATTACTGGATTCTCTTAGCCGCTGCAGTGCTCGGCGTCATCAGTCCCAGGTGAGTGCTGACCTGGCTCTTTAACAATGTCCTGTTCATCTTGTTCACGATTCTGGATGTCGCAGTGGGAATGAAATTGGTCCTTTTCGAGCTGTTGAGGAATCTACTCTGGCTCATCTTACTGCCCAAGAACATCTGAGCGATATCTTCGTCTGGTACTCTCTGATCGGCACCGCTGGCACCGCCCTTGGAATGATGGTGTGCGGGTGGATCATCAACCTCCTGCAAACTACCAAAGGGTGGCAATATCTCCATGCTTGCCAGATTGTCTTTTTCGCATATGCCGGAATCGGTGCAGTCAAATTTCTTCTTTCCATCTGCCTCAGCCACGAGGTTGAAGCCGCCAAGAAGGACAAGAATGGTGCTACTGCCTCTCAACAGCAACAACGAGCAGCCGATGGCCCGGAAACCCAGCCTCTCCTGGGCGAAAGAGCCAATACCGAGAACAATCAGAAGAAATCACTCCTCTCTTTCCTCGGCAGTAGCGATCTCGTTTCCTTAGTCATCACACTCTTCGTCTTGTTTGGTCTGGACTCGTTCGCTTCAGGGTTGGCCTCATTGTACGTATTAGTTACACCATCAGACGACCAAAAGCATCGGACTGACCGTGCTTCACAGATCCTGGATGACATACTTCTTCAAGCGCAAGTTCTCTCTGCCCGAGGGTGAACTAGGCTCGATCTTCTTTACCACAAGCTTAATCTCCGCCGCCTCGATGCTGGTTGCATCCTCCATAGCCAAACGGATCGGCAATATCAAGGTTCGCTCTTCGCCTTCAGTTGCATTCTTCCATTGACTCTCAGGTTTCTGACTATATCACAGACCATGGTCTTCACCCATCTGCCATCTGCCATCTGTCTGGCGCTCATCCCAGTACCCTCCGCCCTGCCGGCAGCCTTGACCTTCTCGGTCCTCCGTGCCTGTTCGCAGAGCATGGATGTTGCGCCACGCAGTGCCTTCTTGGCCGCTGCTCTTCCGCCCGAGAAGCGCACTGCTATCATGGGCGCCATCAACGTCGTCAAGACTTGCAGTCAGAGCTTAGGGCCGCTCATCACCGGTGTTTTGGCCGATCATAATCTGTTCGGTGCTTCCTTCACGCTTGCTGGTATCCTGAAAGCAATCTATGATATCGGGATGCTGATAAGCTTTGCGGGAAGAGAGCGCGCGCAAAGGATGGCTTCGAATCAGCCCGGAGAGAGCGCTTAGATGTCTGATTGCGAACATGAAGCCCAACTCTGACTGTCTCCGACTGTTCTTTGCGAATTACAACACGTAGCCAGGCAGTTTCATGTGGTATCTCAGATCGTCCTACCGCGGTGCATTTTCGTTTTGGTTGTACAGATGAAAACTCTCGGGAAACTGGAAACTCCTGGGATCATAGTTGTTGACAACAACATCCTGCCAAAGTTCTCTTTGTCACATCACATCTTCATATTTCATGTGTGAAGAGGCTATCTTCCCAGGATGAGCTGTGATTATTGAAAATCTTATCATCATTAAATACAGTATGCAGGCATAGACTTCCTTCACAAAACCATCTTGAATTGTGGATCCCTATCATCGTTACATCCTGTATACTGTGCATATTTGCCGTGCGCCTTGTCTCTGTTGATTTTAGCGCAGTATAAGACATTCAATAGGATCCTAAATACAAGATCAGTTGGACTGCTATGATATCGATATAGGCACGGCCGTTACACTTACATGACCCATGCGAATATGAGCAGGCCGAGAACTACTGTGTGACCTCGATGGTAACCTGGCTTGTCCTTGTCAGGATAGTTGAATGCTGATAGAAAAAACGCACATGTCAGTCCAGGAACTTAACTTTAGCAAGCAGGCACAGGGAAAGAGGAACAGAAGACTTACTGGCGACAAACCCTCCACAGTTTGCAATTGCCAACTGCATTGCCGACGTAGTGGCCCTTTTGTAATGCCCAGCGGAGTTGTTGGAATTCCAAACCAGGATACATGGGACGCTGCTGTACATGCCCGTGGCCATGAGGAAGGTCATCCCATACTTGACTTTGGCAGACTCGATGTTGGCAATTGCTCCGTAACCTGCAATCGCAATCGGCAGGGTAAACAGCATGATAACACCGCGAAGCTGCAGCCGGTCTGAGATGAGAGCCACAACGACTGGACCAGAAAACGGCATGCGATCAGCAACTGAGTAAACTTGCATTGGTTGATGATCAAAGAGCCCACCTGTGATTACAGCCGCGACAGCGTACGGAATAACAGTCCAAAGCTGCACCTTGTTCGCATCGGCCGCAAAGCCGCTTTCCTTAATGATGGTAGGTAGCTAGATTTCTGTCATGAGCAAAGATAACTGTTTGGTGGCAGTCCGGAGTCGACTGACAAAAAGTCCAAAAGAGTATAACCCAGACAAGATAGCAAAGTACGCTGTTGCTGAGAGCCACATTCTCAAGTCCAGTACACCTCGGACAACCTCGGACCACCTGAAAGCCTCCTGTTCAGCCTCAAGAGTTCTGTTGAGCGATGTCAGCACAAATTGAACTTAGAGTCGATATCAGTAGGACAGGCGCTTCTTGGTTAAGAAATCGACAAGAGCGTCGACATACCCTTCTGGTACAGATGGACTATCCAGTTGCATTCTCTCACAGGCGAACTTTCGTTCCTCGGCTGTCAGGAAAGTTGCCGTCTCTATATTGTTGGGAAGACAGAGGTAACTGAGAGCGCCGCATGCGAAAGTCTGAAAGGGATCAGAAATAGCACGGATATTATGTTCGCGTTAACTTACCAATAGACCTTCAATGATCATAATCCAACGCCATCCTTCAAGACCACCTCTCGGTCCAATCGCTGCCAATCCTCGAGCCAAGAGCCCTATTATCAAAAATTAGGTACTTCGCGTCAGCAATCACCACTCTTGAATTACCCAGAAGGGGGTTAGTTTTTACCTCCAAAAGCCCCCGATAATGATGCCGCCGTGTAGAATAGGCCGATGCGAAGGGCTAAGTCAGAACGTTTATAGAAGAAAGACAGGTAGAGTACCTGACGGGGTCTTAGTCTCGCTCACTGGAACACTACCAGCCGGTATGAGAGAAGGATCTGGGACAAGCTCCACATACCATGCCAGGTAACAGTCCTCCCTCCGCTACTCCGAGTATGGCGCGAACGGCGACAAAGCCCGCAAAATTACGCACGAAGCCCAGGCACATGGTGATAATTCCCCAGACCATTGTGAGAGTAGGTAACCAGATCTTCGGTGACGCCTTCTTGATTATCAGATTGCTCGGAAGCTCGCTACCGACACACGCTAAGCAACACGATCAGAAATCTTCAGTCATCGACGCTCACCTGCAGATATATGTGAGATAGAAGACCGTAAGGCCTATGTCATACTGATGGCCAGTGATGTTTAGATCATTTTGGAGACCAAGAATCTTGGCGTTTCCCACGTTGGTCCTGAAAGAAGCCTTTGGATCAATATTCAATCTGGTACTAATTGAAAAGATATTCTGTTTCCTTACCTGTCAAGAAAAGAACATAGAAAAAGAAGAGCTAGAACGGGAAGGATTCTATCCGGGGATATTTTAGCTATCTAATGACCATAGACGTTGGATGCGGACATACCTCGTGTCCAGCTTGAAAAGAATACTTCGAGTCAGCTTTTGTTGGTAGGCATCATCGAAAGCCATGTTATCTAATGACTTGGGTTTAACATCTTCCACAGTCTCATGGCTAGGCTTCATCGTATCCATGACTATGTGTACGGACAAACTGTAGAGAGAACATGAGAATGAAAGCAATCAAGATCTTCAGAACAGTATATCGTAGCAGGGGGTCGAGTTAAGTATCCGAAAGAAGATTGGCAGGAAGACGTGACGAGTCCTCCAATTTCGGCCATCATTTCTGCAACCGATGGGAGGATACAAACTGAATTTGTGCTATCTGCTTGTATCCCCGCATTTTCTACCCCAGCCCAAGACAATCCCGTGTTGCTTAGTTTTGGGCTGGAAAGCTTGGCGTTGGGGTCTCGGGAATACTGATTCGCTCTGTAGTAATCATGTGATTCTAGTCTGGTAATTACCGCTTGTAATTACGTATTATTCCGCTGGCGTTGCCGGACTCAACCGACACCGCCCGGAGTCCAGTTTTGGCGCCGAGGCATCGATCATCAACATCTTGGTCGGGTAAATGGCCGATGTTAAGATCATGGCATGTCTCGGAGCATTTTTTTTGCTCATAAGACCGAAATCTCTCACTATCTTCATTTGTGCAAAATACTCTACTTCATTGGTGCGGATTGAAGAGATTGAAAGGATATGTCAAAACTATCCAACAGCCTCAAGGCTTTGATCAACGCCCCGGGTGCGCGGCCAAATACTGTCCCTGCCCCTCGCAATATACGCTCCGTGTACCAAAAGATTCAGCAGAGTGCTCTAGCAAACAATGTTTCCTCATCGTCATGGCTGGCTTTGTCGGTTCGTTAACCCTTCCTCACTCGCCCGTATGAAAACACCCAGCGAATTGTCCTGAAGCTTTGACTGATCCTTATATCTTCGGCCAACAGGCAGCCGCCACGATGACCATGAATTCTCCCGATTCCCTCGCGATCTTGTTTCAATTAGTCGCATCGGCTCAAACAGAGGAGGAAAGCGTAGCCACAGCAGAGCTGATGCGGGAGGTGGGGCTGAAATGCATCAGTTTCAACGGCATCCCGCGGACGATCAACTGCCTCAATGCTTTCAAAGCGAGCTTGCCCGAACCCGTCAGCAAGAAACTATCACGTACTCCGACTCGAGCCCCAGACCCCGGGAATATCAATGAGATTGGTAGGCGCGGCCGAGCCTTGTGGGACTCCATCTACCGGCCCTTTGAAACCAAGCTTATCAGCAAATTGGCGGGTTCGCATCCTGATCTGCCCGTTCACATTCTGAATAGCCATTACGGTGCCCTATTGTCGGATCCCGCTGGACGGACTACCGGCGCGAATGCTGGCCGCATCGTGACGTCTATTATCGCGATTTCATGCTTGCGTGCGCAGTCTGGTGTGGGACCGCAAGTGACATCGCATGTGTTTGGTCTGCGAAAGGCAATCGAAGATGGATCATGGGCTCACGATGTCGAAACTGAGCAAGGTGCCCGGTGGCTGGCAAGTGATGAGGGTAATACCTGGATATTGGCCAGCGTGGATGATATCGTCCAATCGATCAGCGAGGGCGCGGGGTCAAATTTTGCGCCGCCCAGGACCTCTAAGCTGTGATTAGATGCTCTGTGTCAATGATGTTGTCGTGGTTAGACTTGGATGACCCTTAGTGTATATATGTATATAGAGACATCTTCGCTCGCATTGGCTATATATAATATACAAAGGCCGCTGCTCAATTTCTCGGAATCGGCCTTGTGTATCCCATGCAAATCACGTCGCCTGTCAAGTCTTACAGGAGGATGAAATGGTGGCTACACCCGCTTCCTTGTTCAAGATTCTAGAAAAATGGTTCATAATAATATTCTATACATGATGTTTACACGAAGCATTATCCACATGGCAGCCAGCATCGATCATGTGCGATTTCCCAATGTCGGGATTGAGCGATCTCATTCCATGATCTCCAATTGCTCTGCTACAGCAAAGTTCGCCCCTGTTTTGTTTCGGACTTCCTCAACTTCTACCCCTGGGGCGAGCTCCGTCAGCAGAAGCTCCCCTTTACTTCGATTAACCTGGAAAACACACTAAACAGCCGCGGTCAGTCGGCCTATAAAGACTGAGGTCGCATTTTGGTCAATAGACTTACCAGTTCCGTGATGATCGTACTGACGCAGTTTGCGCCTGTCAAAGGTAGGCTACATTCGGCGACGACCTTGGGTGATCCGTCCTTGGCAGTATGGCTAGTAGCGACAACGATCTTGGTTTGGTCTGGATTGGAGATCAAGTCCATGGCTCCTCCCATTCCCTTGAAGACCTTTCCGGGAATCATGTAGTTCGCTAGATCGCCGTTGGCGCTCACTTGCAGGGCCTGCTTATCATTAGCCCACGTACTCTATCCCTTCACCAGCATACTCTTCCTCACTCACCCCGAGGATAGATACGTCAACATGTCCGCCCCGAATCATGCCGAACGATTCTGTGCTATCGAACGTAGCTGCGCCTGGCATGAGGGTGACGGTCTCTTTCCCGGCGTTGATGATGTCCCTGCAAGCTGGTTAATTCACGCACACACATGTCCAATGGACAGGACTTACGGGTCAACTTCGTCTTCAGTGGGATACGGTCCCTAGTCATAACCATTAGTTGATGTTGTTTGGCCAAGTCTGAAGGCTACCTCACCATGCCGAGAATACCATTTTCTGACTGCACCCAAACTTTCACACCTTCTGGTAAGAATGACGGAGCCAGTGTGGGAATTCCTGGACAAGTGTCAGCGCTTGACGGGCTCGAGAAGCCTAAGGTACTTACCAACACCCAGATTAACATAATATCCTTGCTTTAGTTCCTTCGCAGCTCTCCGGGCAATGCGGTTTCTCCGAACCATGGCAGGATCGCACGAGAACTTACCCGCATCCTCATTTTCGGGAGTCCGTAATTTCTTGATTTCGATGTGCTTCTCTGCCGTGGCAGGGACAACTCTATCCACAAAGATGCCCGGCAGGTCGACGTCATTAGGGTCAATGGAACCGACCGGAACGATGTTTTCCGCCTCCACTATAGTAAGAGTGGCAGCTTTCGCCATGACCGGACCAAATGCCTTCGTTGTGTACCTAGAGGAAGTTCCAATGTTCAGCAAGTCGACTGATGCATGAGCAGACAACAAACTTACCTGAAAACACAGTTTCCTGCCTCGTCTGCTTTCCAAGCACGAAGGATAGCCACGTCACCAGTGAGGGCTGTCTCCATCAAATAAGTTTTGCCATTGAATATCCTCGTCTCTCGTGGTGTGCCACGCTCCAATACTTTCCCAGACTCATCTAGCCGGACGGGTATTTCTCCCGCTTGGAGTAATGTGTCTGCGAAATAAAGCAGAGTCAGAACTGCAGATGCAATGTATGGAGACTTTCGACAGAGGAAAACTTACGCGCCCCAGTAGGAGTGAAGAATGCCGGAATCCCAGCTCCTCCGGCACGTAATCGCTCGGCTAATGTTCCTTGGGGACATAGCTCAATAGCAATCCTCCCCGTCAAATACTTCTTCTCCAAGGCCTTGTTGTTCCCCAGATAGGATAGGATCAACCGATCTACTTGTCCAGCTTGAGTAAGTGTAGAAAGTCCTCCTCTTCCAGGAGCGCCAGCGTTGTTCGAAACTGCTGTGAGGGAATGCAGATTTTCCACTCCTCTACGATTAATCGCCGATAAAAGCGTATCTGAGTAATGTCAATGTTTGTTGAACCCATCTTCTTGCTGGGGAGATATATACCTGCGACACCGCAAAGGCCAAATCCAGAGCTCAGGATTGTAGATCCGCTTTTGAGGTCAGCGACAGCCTCATCTGCATCGCTGAATAATTTTGAAGCGCCACGCTCAATCTTGGGTGCAGGTGTCTGTTGTTGCAGAGTAGCAGTTGAATATCGTACATAACAAATGTTTGTTGTTCGAAGAACAGGTCCCCCACGTCCTTTATAGCATGTCCCTAACTGAAACCATGGACGGGTAACAGTATGTGTTCTCCGCATTGAAGATACGATTGCTGAACCCCGCAAAGTCGCCATTCCTCGTCAACACTAAGCTAAGTATGCCACCCAGAATAGATAAACAGGGCTGCGAATCATGTATATTGGGTGAAAGTGGATTGAGATCTTCTAATAAATGTTCTCTGCATCGAGAGAGCACTAAGGTGTCTCTTATGTAAATCGACAAGGGACGCACCGTTCGGCAATCGGAACTACTTCTGGGCACCGACAGGACGTCGAGACCCACAACTTCACAGTCACGCTCAACATTATTGCAGCGCACAGGAGAATCGGTACCTAAGGTATTACTGTGGATTTCAATGTTGGTGTTATTGGTCGAAACCCAGGTCGCCTGCATTGGCGAAGTCGAACCAATCCCAGTTCATCAGATCATCCAGTGGGACGTCAGGAATATTCATGCCGAATGCCGAGTCAGCCCTGTTCACTGCATCGATAATTTGGTGATCAGACATCGCGGAGAACTGTAGCGTCTCTGGCCATAGCGTAGAGGGATCCATTGGTGGTTGTGTCACTGAAGGTATGGGGCAGTAATCGCTCAATGTAGAGGAGGGCCGTAAGGGCTCTACCGGGTCTGATTCGGTATGTTTTTGAGAAACAAGGCCCATATGAGCACGTCTAACAAGCTCTCGTAGCAGTCGTCCATACAAGACAGATGCACCTTCTCTGTGAGCTGGGATGGCCCCAATCCGTTCGAGGACATCAGCCGTTTCCTCAATCAAATGTCGCACGCTCGGTGCCAAGCTGGACCTGCTGTCCACGGGCGTCACACTGAGGCTAAGGGCAGAGCATGCAGCGAAGGCGATCATGATCACTGTATTATTGGGCATGGACTTTAGCCGCGACTCTCCTTGAATGGCTGCCCGCATGACATTCAATGCGGAAGAAAGGCCAGCGGCGCGAAAAAATCGCTTGACTTCGAGTGGTGCTGTGGGATGATTGATCACACCGCCATATGTAGACAGTTGCGTGTGTGTTACCAATATCTCGACATACGGCGGAAGGCAGCGGGCTTTCCGAGTTATATTAGCACGGAATTGCTATGTGAAGCTGATCTGGACAAGGTTGATAAATAAACTTACAGGGTCCACCAATCTCAAGAGCCCAAGCCGCGTACCATCGATCATAGAAGTCTTCAATAAGTTTCTTGATCCTAGAGGCGAGTGAGCCATCTTCGAGAGCCATAAAGTCGACAGGAGTCACCGTACAACTGAGCAGCTTCCGATCCGATGTCCCCAAGTCGGCAACTGTCGCAACGCGATTTTACTGTTTTCAGAAGTTCATCCTGCCGTGTACTGATGTTAGCTGTCTGCAAGCAACCAAGCATAACAAAGATATTTCGAGGGGTTGTCTTACGAGATTCCTCCGGAGAACTGCCATAGAGTTCATCGGCCCATCTCGAGAATCGGCAATATCAGAGATATGCCATTTGTCACAATTTTCAATGAGAGCAGTCGGGGGAACTGTATAGCTTCGTCCGCGGGCCAAACAGACACTGCAATATACAGATTAGCCGAATTCGCCGTATGCATATCTTCGACTATGAGCTTCAGCACCTACCCACGCTCGAGGACGAATAACGCGATCCAAGTCCTCTCGCGTCTACGTAACAACCTTCGGCCCCATTCCGAGGCCGGATCAATAGCTTCGAATCCATCCATGTGCAGGGCTCTCTTTGCATCAATGCAATCAGTCTTCGCAAGCCTGTTCTGGAGAGTACTATCAAAACTAGTTGCGGGTGTCACTATCTTGTTGAGAGAAAGGTCCAACGCAACAGTCAAAGCCATTGCAATATAGGAGCATGTGTCATCATCGCCAGAACTGCTCCCTGGGGCCATCCATGGAACGTTTACCATGAAGGCCAAAACAATTTCCACTGATCGATAACGCTGGGCAATGACCTTATAAGCCAGTGATGTACAGTGCCTCGTTAGTCTTTTGGATAAGGCGGCTGCAGAAGGGTGAAACCGGGCAGCTGCAGCCAGCATTGAAGTGAAAAGAAAGGCCGACTGTGAGCGTACGAATGACACAGTATGCACAGTTGGATCCAGGCCCCACCTCGTGTGGGCCAAATTCTCGTAGAAGCTATTGTCGAATTGGTCAGTTCACCAACAAGATTACAGTTTGGGTCTAATAGGTTGACTTACAAAGAAAAAAGTAATTCTGCCTCATGCAAAGTAATCAGGCCCAGTTCGATAGGGTCCATGTCCGGGCCGAGGTCTAGGTTCGCCCTGACTGGGACGAAAAAAGATCTGGCAATTGGCAGGTCCTCGTTGGGGCTACTATGTGGTCTGAGAGACGATTGTGATACGGATGGAGTGGACAATCTGGGTGCGTCACGGCATTCGGCGGGCGAAAATTGGAGGTCAGAGGCTCTCGCGAGAAGTTGCAATGGATTCTCCGCATCATCCAAGGCTAGATTGTCCCCAGCAGTGGCACCTTGCGGAGGAGATCTCCTATGTGACCGGTCAAGGTCATCTGATATCTCCTCGACCTCACTCCGTGCAGAATGCCCTTGTGCCCTGCTAAGGAGATCTTGCAGGTCTGAAATAAGTTTTTCAGCAGCATCAGATCCTGCTGCATCAGTCTTGGGGCGTTTGATCGCCTTCTCTATTTGGTGTAACGCTTTTTCCAGTCCTTTGCGTTTGCTACAAGCAAATGTAAGCATTTATGATTGTAATAGAAGTAGGGATAGGGTCCGGTGACTCTGACTTCTTAACACCCTTTTGTCTACCAAGATGGTGGCTGGGTACGATACATTCCAGATTTGCTTGTTTGCATCTGTCACAGCAGATATCCTCGCGGCTGCGCTTGCATCGTATTTTGCTTCTTCGACAATTCAAACATGCGGCCTGTCGTCCATGCGGCGTTCTGTTTGATTGTGATGGATCAGCTGTACCGTCCATCATCTTACCTCCTGAGACACGATTCTTTGTTGCAGACCATTTCAGGCAGATTCCCAAATTCCATAGGCTTATTACCAAGCGATAAGCCAGTCTGTCAAGGGGGTTCCAAGTGCTTGTCCACCTTCACAAACAGCGTGTGTCCTAGGATATAGAATGCAGCCACATGTGTTATTGTCGAAAGTGGTCAGTCATCATAATTTCCATAAGGGAATTATATAGTCTACCGGTGCCTGGATTTTCCGGCGTCCAAACCCACAACCCCAAATTCAGAAAAGCCACGCTGAGAGGCGAGCAATGTAGTGCAAGATAAATTACTTGCAATAAAAAAGTATTATTCCTGCGTCAGACGCAGCACAAGTAAAAAGAGTGCAAAGGGGCCATGCCGCCTGAAAAACAAAAGCCGAACGCGGGGGTCGAACCCGCAACCTTGAGATTAAGAGTCTCACGCTCTACCGATTGAGCTAGCCCGGCTGGGCTATATCTCGACCAAGAGAATTTTGCCCCTATGAAGATTAGAAATGATCATCCGTGAGTAACGGCAATTGCCACATTTAATACAGTCCATGAGTAACCCCCTAGAGTGCATCAACATAGTCCCAATAGGGGTTGACCGTGTACAGTCGATTACACAGTTACAAATATGACCAGTAAAAAAAAGTGACCGACGCAGGGATCGAACCTGCAATCTCTTGATCCGAAGTCAAGCGCCTTACCATTAGGCCAGCCGGCCCTGTGATTGGATGTGGCAAAAACCTCCTATCATAGGAAATCGAAGTTTAACAAGGGTTCCTACGTACAGCCAGGACTCATCTAACGACACTTGATGGGATGTACAGGAAACGATTTCGAGCCTTTCTCTTTATATATATCTCTCTTTATATATATCCTGTGAATTAATGTAAGACCTCCCACTGACCTCGTTTTCTGATCAGGAAAGAACGCATTTCTCAACACCCTCGAGTATCCACTTATATTATATATTACATATCAATGTACGTGGCATCCTAATGACCGTTGCAGCCTGACAGGGGACATTTATATTTTAAACGCCAAGCAAGGGACGGTGAGAGTGACTCTTGATCCAGGGGTCATGTGTCTAGCTCGCCAAACATGGTTGTCAGATAGCAGAAGATTCTTCGTTCACTTCCCATCCAGAAATATACAGCATGTCACACATGTCAGACTATGATGCCCGGGGCTCACTAGACAGGTCTGTTGCATGTATGTTATGATCAGCGGGAAGAGCACCGCTAGTCGTTGAAGGATTGTCAAGTATGGGCTGAGTGGGGGCCTGCTGTTGTTGGACTTGTCCGTTTGGCGGTATTGCAGCTGGAACTTGCAGCGTCTGGCCTGACGTCGGAATATAGGCCATTGCTGGACCAGGGGCAGCACTGTCTCCGCGATTGCTTCCCGAATCTGAATGGATATCTGACACGACACTCCGTGGTGGGGATACGCTAAGCAGAGGAGCGGTGGCAGCAACAGGCCGCTTAGACGGCCTTCCAACCTTGACTGGAGCAGGACCCAGCATGGGTGGATAACTGAATCCGAAACCCCACCGAAGCCACAGGCCGACTTTCCTCCAGAATCCCGTTTGCTCCCATTTCTCTTTAAGCACCTGCGCCTCCTCGGAAGTACGAGCCTGAAAGCCTTTGCGGCAGAACAGAAGAAGCAGACAGGAGACAATAGGAGCGAGCATGCACCAAGAAATTGGGAATCCTCGGCGAGCCTGCCAACCCCTCATCAAGCGTCGAAACTGAAACCAATTCTCAATGAGGCCGATGATGAGCCATACTCCGAACCATCCCAGAAGGGAGATAAGCAGAATACCAAGGGGAGATATAACCCCGTAATAAGAGCTATCGTAGAGCCAGTTGCGGTCGTCACCACCATCATAGTACGAGTAGCTGCTACCGCTATGGGAGCTGCTGTCATAGCACCCGTACTCTCGGTACATGGTGTAGGGCTTGTTGGAGATACTGAGCCTGCTCAGACTCGATACCGGCACTTGTGTAGGATCAATGAAAGCAAGAGCCTTGGTGTATGTGGTTGGTTGAAAGGGTTTGCTGTCGTCCACTGAGTAGCTAGTTGACATGGACGTCGCTAGCAAAGCGTCTTCAATGGCGTTGGGGACATAGACCGGAACTGCAGTGGTCAACGTCCACTGCGAAGAGCAGGATGTCGGCGCTGTATATACCATGTTCACATAGTACTGCGTGAGAATATTTGAGTCAAGGTAATTGTAGTTCTTGTAGGTCGACTTGATCCCTGCACCAGATGGGTACAGCACTTGAACAACTGTGACAGCATCGTCATAACTGTCGCTAGTTATATAAGTTGTTGTTGAAAGGCCAGCAGGCATCGGTGATGCTGTCGGCGTGATTTCATGAATGCGAGTGCGTGTTGTGGTCCTGTAGCTGTAATCATAGGTGTCGACATCTTGCTCATACACTTTGGTGACTATCCAGGGGGCAGCGAAGGCGCAAGAAGTCTGATGTAAAATGAGGGACAGAAGTGCAAGTGGAAACGAATGTGAAGGTGCCATTATCTTGGCTGTACTTGGAGATTGGGGTCCCAGATTGTCAAAAGAGGGAACTGACTCAGAAAAAGAGTCGAACAGAAGGATAGAAAATCTGATCAAGGAAAACCACCCTTCTCATGATATTTTTTTTTTAAAGGAGTAAACGCATTGCGCCACAGAGGGGCACTGCCTAAAGAAATGGTTCAACGGATTGAGGCTCTCGCATTTTGCTAACGGGTACGTGTCTATGGACTCACGGAGTTCCTAGCTCTCTGTGGCATAAGCCGCTCGGTCTATGCCTCTGTGGGTGGCCATTGTCAAACTATCATACCTTCTCGGCGCGGTAATTGGACGGACTTCAACATAGGGGACAAGATGAAAAGACCGGCTGATCATGGTTACAGTTAGCTCATTTTCTGTCTCGTTCGGCCAGTCAGCGAGTGGCGGATTAGCGAGATTTCTTGAAACTAGACTAGAGAAAGTTCTGAGAAAATGAGGAAGAGGACTTGCGAGTTGTGATAGTGACTGAACCAGACAGGCACCACCAAGCAGTCTAACCAGGTATATATTTAGTGGGATAGTCTAAGACGTGACCGTCGTATAAGATCCTGCGCTAGGGATCAAAATAGGTACTAGCAATTTTAGCAAGGTTGTACTGTGAAGAAAAGGGACCTAGAACAGGCCTAGACACACCAGCTCACTTGCTCCTCATTGGGAGAATATTGACAGTCACCAGGGGTTCTTTTAAGCGACTTTGAGTCTCAGCGGTATGCTTAGCCAATTGTGTTAATAGTATTCATTGTCATTATTAGCTCCTTCAAGTATGGAGAATTAGAAAATGGATAATCTCCTACCTCACGGCTTACAGATATACTCGATACCACGTACTAAGGCGGAAAATACCTAGAACGTACCTTGTGCTGGATAATGTGCTCATGCAGACTCTGGGAGACAGCCATGACTCCGTAATTTTGTTGATATTTTGGCGACACTGGAGTGAGTACTTTTCCTTTTATTTTGGTCGAAATATTTGCTCAGTACTCTCTAGATAGAGACACGCAGACGCAGGTCGGATCGTGCCAATGCAAGTCTTTTGAATGAGACAATGAGCGCTACTTTCATTTTGATGCGAGAGAATCTATCTAGTGCCCTAGCGCATCAGTAGTCCTGGGCTACTCGCTTTAGGCCTTAAGCACAGAAAAATCCTAAATCTGGACAGTGATTGAGTGCTAGCTGTACAACAAGAAGCACGGGTTTTGAGTGTGCTGATATTATTTTCAGGTCAGCCTACGTTCTTGAACGTCCTTAATCAATAAGCAGAGTTAAGGTCTTACGCTTTCTACGCAACCAGGTTGTATCCCAGGAGACATTAGGAAAACGAAGTATAGGCAGGATAAGTGAAGCTAGAGTTTGGCGTCGACATAAGAAATACTAGAGGGAAAATCGAAACCAATATTCAGTATCACCGAAGGCTACGCCAAACAAGATGGTCCCTAGAAGAAGTTGGAACATGAGACTGTGGCAGCAAATGCAGGAGCACTTATTTAGAGCGAGAATGACGGATAATCAAAACTAGGGGGGGGCATAACTTCGTCAATATCCATCAGAAGGAAACAGGCAAATAGAGTCTGACAGATGCTACAAGCGGACGGCAACGTTCGGTTGTCGTTTGTAACATGTAAAGCAATCGGCCAGCTGTCAACGGTGCGCTGGAAGGTAACAAAAGGAAGACAAGCATTTCTTTCAGCTTGCAGCTCTGAGAGCACGTAATCTCGCTCCCAAGCCGTCCTCCAGCTCCGAGTCGGCTTGCTTCTGCTCCTTGACGTCTTCCTTGGGAGCTGCATCAGCATCCAAGGCTATGCGCATGTCCACACCCGCCTCGTCTGCAAGCTGTTCCATGAGACGATCAACTTCGGCCTCGCCCTCGGCACCATACTCTTGCATAGAGACACCTTGAGCAACATCCTCTATCGCACTGCTAGCGATTTTGAAATCTTCCGATCGCGCTAAGAAGTTATTTGCATGAGATACCAGGGTTTCAAGATTGACGCTCTTCGACGCCGCATCCAGGCCTCTTGACGCCAGAGCAAGGGTTCGGGATGTATCGCGAGTACTCTGAGCGGCTTTAAGTTCATTTATTATGACGTCCGCCCGTGCAGCCTCGGCTCTGAGGGTTACTTGTCTTCGTTTCTCTCGTACGGCAGAGGCGGCGTGGATACGGGCAATTTGGAACTCGCGATT